AGGCTGGTCTTGAACTCCTGACCTTGAACGATCCTCCCGCCTCGGCCTCCCAGAGTGCTAGGGTTACAGGCATGAGCCACCGCGCCCAGCCTTTTGTTTTATTCTTTGAGACAGGGTCTGGCTCTGCCACCCAGGCTGGCTGCGGCGGCACGCGTGCCCAGGGCAGGGTCGGCGAGCCGTTCAGGCTGAGCGTCCGCGTAGAACGCGGGGGCTGCCCCTCCAGCGCCCTCTTTTCTGGATTCACCCCTGGTTTTTCTGTGTCAGTAGCTGCCCGAAACTCCGACCTCTCGTTCTTCAGGCCGGAGCGCAGAGCCCATGGGCTTTCGTCAGAACCGTAGCACCCTGCAAGGTCTCAGAAGCAGAGGACTTAGCCTCGCCGCATGTTGGAGCGGAATACAGCCATGCCGAGGAAAGGAAAACATTTTCAAAAAGGTCTCTGCAGATGTTATTGAGGATATTGAAATGAAGAGATCGCCCTGAGTTATCTGGGAGGGCACTGAATGCAACGACAAGTGATCTTGGAAGAGGAAGGAGAAGGAAGTTTGAGACACACAGAGCAGCAGAGATTGTGTGACACGCCAGGGAGCGCCGGGAGCCGGAAGAGGCGAGCAGGGGTCTCCCCCAGCGCCTGCCGAGGGAGCGCGGCCGCCAGCGCTGCTTCAATCTTGGATTTCTGGCCTGAACTGTGAAAGAATAAATTTCCGTTGTTACGAGGTGGTGGCGATTTGTTATGGCTGTCACGGGATACTAATACAGGGGGTTCGCTGTCCTGGAAGCCCAGGTTTAGGCGACGTTCATCCCTGAGAGGGACTGGGGGCGTCAGCTGCCGAAACCCCTGGGGTCCTGTCTGAGCCACACCTCTGAGGCTCGCAGGAGTCCAGAGTCAAAGCCACCAGCCGTGGCCCCTGTGCAGCAGCAGCTGCCCCCCAGCCAGAGACCCACGGGTGCTTGGGGCCCTTACCAGACTCTTCGGCAGGCACAGCCCCTGCTGGGAACCTCACAGGGGGAAAGAAAGGCATGACCAGCAAGCGCACGGTCTGAGAGCCTCTGGGCTGTTTCTCTTGGAGCGCTTCCCCCTAAGATCACAGCAGGAAAATAAGTGAGGACAGAATCTTTCTTATTGACTCTACGGAAAACACGATTTTCCCTTTGCAAGTAGACAAGTAGTCTTTGCTAAGGCCCTGGCTGCATTCGAAATCGTTCTTGGAGCAAACTACTAAATCCACAGCTCTGTGACTTCCATGCAAGGCGAGAATGACAGCTAATGTGCACTGAAAGCTGTCTGCCAGGAACGTTCTAGATTCCATTTCTATAGTCCCGTCAGCATCCCTGGAAGAGGGGTGGAATGGATACCGTATTAAAGAGGAGGAAACAGAGGCTGAGGCAGGAGGACCAAAGCCAGCTTGCCTGCGTGGGTGTTGTGGGCCCGGGCACAGGCTTTCGGACAGGTGAGCCTGGGTTTGAGTCCCGATTCTGCTACCTTCTAGGCTTCTCACTTCCTGTGGCTGCTGTAACAAATGACCACAAACTGGGTGTCAACAACAGAAATGTTCTCTCTCCTAGTTCTCGATCTGGCCCCGTTGTCCCTGCCCAGCACATGACAGGGGAGGAGGTGGGAGGCTGACATGCCTTTGCTTCTGTTCTCAGATGCTCCAGGCGCAAATCAAAGGCCTGGAAACGAGCATGGTGAACAAGAGCGTGATGGAGCAGGAGCTGAAAGAGGTGAGAGAGCACAGGTCCCTCTGCCTTCCCCCGCCCCATCCCGAGCCCGGCTCTCCCACCCAGGGAAACGGAATCGTCCAGGCAAAGCCAGGGAAAAGCCTTCCAGAAATTCCTTCCGCCTTTATTCATACAGAGAGGTTTTGAGAAGGGGAAGCTTCTCGAAAGTTGTCCCATCAACTCCTGCTCATGATGAGTGAGACTCTGTTATGTGAACTTAAATATCAGGCGTCAACTTTCCTGTTATAGGAAAACCACGGTGGTTTAGATCTCAAGGTTGTATTTGAGCCAACGCAGACACCAATGTTGAATTTAAGCCAAGTGAAAAAGTCCAGGGTCCTGAACTAGAAAAAGTTACCCCGAGGGGTGTGATGTCTCCAGTGCCCCTCACTCCATCCCAGCAGCTGCCCCTCCCTGGGCCCCTTTCTCCCCAGAAAGCCGACAGGAGCACCCTGGCAAGCAAGGCAAACAGGGCCGATCTGGAAACCATGGCAACGGAGCTGAACGAGATGATTCAGGGCATGCTCTTCAAGGTCTCGGCCCACGAGCACGACTGGAAGAAGACTATGGAGCGTCTCAGGAAGGACGTGAGCACCAGGGTGAGTACCCTGTGTTAGTTAGTACTTGCTGCGTAACAAATTATCCCAGAACTTACCAGCTTCAAACAACAAATGTTCTCAACTTCCAAGGGGCCAGAATTCAGGAGCCACTCAGCAGCTTAGCTCCGTGACTCAGGGTCTCCCCACAAGGTCACGGTCAAGATGTCATCCAGGGCTCGTATCATCTGAAGGCTTGACCGGAGCTAGGTGAGCTGCTTCAAAGGTGGCGCCCTTGGCTGGGTGTGGCGGCTCAACGCCTGTAATCCCAGCGCTTTGAGAGGCCAAGGCAGGAGGATCGCTTGAGGTTACAGTGAGCTATGATTGTGCTGTTGCATTCCAGCCTGGGGGACAGAGTGAGACCCTGTACCTAAACTATAAAAAGAAATAAATAAATAAAATTGAAAAAACATATGGCACCCTCATGTGGCCATTGGCAACACTCCCAGTTCCTCATCACACAAACGACTCCTCAGGACCCCTTGCGTGGCCTCAGGACATGGCAGCTGACGACCCCCAGGGCAAGTGATCAAAGAGAACAAGAAGGAAGCTGCAGTGTCTTTTATGACTTAGCCACAGAGTGACCCTCCCTTGTCTCTGTAATATCCTGCTGCTTACATGGGAGGGGACGGCTCCACGGTGTGAATACCAAGAGGCACAGCTGGGGGCCATCTCAGAGGTTATACCAGGACTCTGCTGGCTGGAGCGTGTGGCGTGAAGGAGGGAGTCTGTGGGAGGACCAAGCCAGTCATTCATTTATTCCTTCTTCATCCACTGACCGCCCGGGATGTGCCACACCCTGGGGAAGTGTCGATGAGGAGTCACAGCCCCTGCCTTGATTTGTGCAGTGGGACAGAGAGACAGGGACAGTCAGACCAACCATTGCAGTGCTATGCGGTTCTTGCAGCTGGGGCGGCTGCTACGGCCCAGAGAGACTGTAACCTCAGGCAGTCCTCCTGCCTTGGCCTCTCAAAGCGCTGGGATTACAGGCGTTGAGCCGCCACACCCAGCCAAGGGCGCCACCTTTGAAGCAGTTCACCTAGCCCCGGTCAAGCCTTCAGATGATAGGAGCCCTGGATGACATCTTGACTGTGACCTTGCGGGGAGACCCTGAGTCACAGTTTAGAGTCAGGCAGCTCTGGGTCTGAGTCCCAGCTCCGCTATGAGCAGTAGTCGTATGACCTCTCTGAGGCTCAGTTTTCTCATCCGTATAATGGGGATCCATTCATTCATCAACTATGCAAGGGGTGCCTATAGTGCTGGTCACTGCGGACAGAGCAATGGGCCAAAGGGGTCTGGGACGTGGTCTTCGTGGGGATACATTTAGTCAGAGGAATTACACAAACCAATGCATAATTGCAGGTGGATAACATTCTACAAACACTGACCTGTTTCTCTTCAATAATTCAATGGTGGGGATGGGGGGCTGAGAACAGAGAGATTATTTTAGATTAAAAGTCTCAGGAGACAAAGTAACCAAGCGCAACACCCGAAGAGACTTTACTGGTTCAATCGAGCCAACTCTAAAAATAGGCTGGGAATGAGCTCTAAGTCAGGAATCATCGTTAATCATATCAGATGTGACGATGCTATTACGGTTATATAAGAAAGTGTCCTCATCTTTTAGAGATAATTACTCAAATATTTATGAGTGAAATATCATGATTTCTGCAACTTTAAAAAAATTCCATCAAAAAATAAGGCAAACGTAACAACATGACAATTATTATTAAATCTCGGTGGTGGAGGTACGGGGGTTAATTATTCTAGTCTTTCTATTTCTCTATGCATTTGAAATGTTTCTTAATGAAACGGTTTTTAAATTGTTGTTTTAAGCGATCCTATACTCATTGATTTTTTCTTTCTGTATTTCCAACTGTAAAATTCACTCAACATAAAATTAACCATTCACCATTCTAAAGTGAACAACTCAGTGGCATTTAGCACATTCGCAGTGTGTGCAGCCACCACCTCTACCTAGTTCTAGGGCATTTTCATCACCCTCAAAAAAACCTGGACCCATTAAGCCGTCACTCCCCGCCCCTCCTTCCCAACCACTGGCAACCACTGGGCTACTTTCTGTCTCTGCGGACTTGCTTGGTCTGGACGTTTCTTAAAGGGAATCAATCATACGCTGTGTGAATGTTTGAAGCTCATCCATGCTGTAGCCTGGATCTGAGCTTCCTGCCTTATACCCAAGAAGAATGAGAATATATGTCCACACAAAAGCGTGTACATGAATGTTCACAGCAACATTGTCCACAATAGTCACAAGGTGGAAACAACCCAAGTGTCCATCAGCAGATGAATTAGTAAAACGTGGTCTATCCATGTGATGGAATATTATTTGGTCGTAATGTTCCATAATAGATAGCACGAGTGAAGCACTGATTCATGCCACAACAGGGATGAAAATATTATGCGAAGTGAACGAGGCCAGACCCCAAAAGGCCACATACTGTATGATTTCATCTATATTAAATGTTCAGAATAGGGAAATCTGTTAGAGACAGAAGGAGATTAGTAGTTGTCAGGGGCTGGGGGCGTGGGAGGGAATGGGGGCGGCTTGTAACGGGTACAGGATTTCTTTGGGGAGTGGTTGTGATGGTTGCACAACTCTGTGAATATATTAAATACTAAAAGCCATCGACTTGTCCACTTCACATACAGACCCTCAGCAAATATGTGTTGAGTGTGAATGTCAGGTGCATGGGGACCATCTGGAGAAATAAATGTTCTCGGGTCCCCAAGCCTGCAGTTGGGCAGTAGGTTTGATTTGATCTTTTGTAGGAAGCAGGTGATGGTTGGGTTTTTTTTGCCTTGGCTGCTGGGAAACTCATTTTGCAGTTCCCCTCCAACAATAGCATCTAGTAAGGGTATGTACCTTACCCCAAGCGGTATCATTTTCCCCTTCCTGGACTACTTTGCCATTTTTGTTTATTCTTGTTATACTCTATGTAACTTTGCAGGTTGCTGCAAATCCTTTCTGGAAGGAGGCAGGCTGTGAATTAATTGACCAGACTTTCTTTTCTCCCCTTTGGCTGTTGGCAGCTAGTCCACAGTGATCTGGACTCTCTGAAGAAAGAAATGCAAGAGATCTGGAAAGTACTCCAGAGGCTGCTGGTTGAGGGCTTCCGATTCGACCCTGACAGTGCCGCCGGCTTCAGGAAGTGAGTGCGTAGCCTCGAGCCCGGGGACACAGGAAGGGAGTTCCGGCAGCTCTGGGGAACCCCAGAGCCATGGGCAGGGCAGGGCAGGGCAGGGCCACCTGACCAGCTGGGCCTGTCTTGCAGGAAGCTCTTCGAGCGGGTGAAGTGCATTTCCTGCGACCGGCCGGTGGAGATGATGACCAGCCCGTGAGTACAACGCCAGGGGGCGCTGCCGCTGGCTCCCAGGGTTCACACACCTGGGCACACAGCCGCAGGGTGGGTGGGGGGTGTTCGGTGGATGTCACGTATGTATGCATTGATGTGCACCATTCTGTACATGCCTTGTGTGTACACGTGCATGTGCACTGTTCCGTGCACACCACATGTGTACACATCCATGTGCACCATTCTTCAGCCTTCAAGTACATCTGCAGCCACACCCACTTGTGTTCCAGCCCTTGAGTTTATACACATCCACGTACATCATCTATAGACGTATTATGTTCCACCTGTGGCCTCTGAGGGATTCCCTGGGAGGGAGGACGTCACCCTGTCCCTCGTAAGCCTCCTCTAGTGCTACGTGCCAGGCCCAGGTCAGAGCTTCCAACAACAACAACAACAGCAAAAAGAGGGTGGAAGGAACCATTGCAGGGAAAGCAGAACTTTGTTGTACTTCCTCGCACTTATTTTGATACAAGTCTAATACTTTTTAGAAATGTATTGAGGTGAGATTCGCATAACATAAAATAAACCATTTTAAAGTGGACAATTCTGCGAGGTATGGTGGCAACACCTGTAGTCCCAGCTACTTTGGAGGCTGAGGCAGGAGGGTCTCTGGAGCCTGGGAATTCGAGGCTGCAGTGAGCGTTGATTGCGCCACTGCACTGCAGCCTGGGTGAGTGACAGAGAGAAAGACGCTGCCTCTTAAAAAAAAAAATAACAAAGTGAGCAGTTCAGTGGCGTTTAGTACATTCACTCTGTTGTGCAACTTTTGCCTCTATCTAATTCCAAAACGCTATTTAATCCCCTCAAAAGGAAACTGCAGATTCTTTAGCAGTCACTCTCCATGGCCACCCCTGCTCAGCCCCCGGCAACCACGGATCGACCTTCTATCTCTATGGATTTGCATATTCTGGATGTTTCGTATAAGTAGAGTCGTACAAGATGTGACCTTTCGTGTCTGGCTTCCTCCACCGAGCATCTGTCCTCCGCGCTGTAGGTGTCAGTGCTCCGTTCCTCCTCGTGGCTGAGTCGCGCCCCGTCGTGTGGATAGACCACGTTTAGTTTATCCGCTCGGCAGTTCGTAGACAGCCGGGCTGTCTGCCCCTTTTAGCCTTTGCGATTAGCGCTGCCATAATATTTGCGTATGCGCACGTGTTTGCCTGTTTTCAGTTCTCTTGGGGATGAACCTAGGAGTGCAAGTGCTGTCATGTGGCAGCTCTAGGGTGAACTTTCTGAGGAACTGCCAGTGATCTGTTGTGACACTAGGACCTCTCAGGCCTTCCCGGGGTTTAGCCCTGACGGCCCACGAAGCTCGTCACCTCCCCAGGCCGATGCATGTTCACGGAGGGACTTTGGAGCGTCAACCAAAATTTTTCTTTCAAACCACAGATATCTGGCTGCAGCATTATTAATAATAGTAAAAAAATTGGAAACAACCTGAAGTGGTAAATGAGTTACGATGCGTTCACATCAGCCAACATAAACCGTGTTTTACAAGAACACTGTCCAATAGGACACCCTGCGATGGGGACGTGGCCTATAGCCGTGCGGTCCAGTGCAGGGGCCACTGGCCACCTGTGGCTGTTGAGCACTTGAAATATGGCTAATTCGACTGAGAAACCGAATTTTAAATTTTATTTAAAAATTTAGATGATTTAAGTAGCCACATGTGGCCAGCGGCTACTGTATTGGACACAGTAGTTGTGGAAGAATATTTAATGACCTGGAAAAATGTTTGCAATAAATTAAATGAGAATATCAAGTAGTATGTGTGTTATGATCTTATTTTCATTTAAAAAATTACATAAAGATGGAAAAATGTTGGAAGGACGAGTATCAAAACCTTTGTCACGTGGTTGCAGTGCTTTGCTTTTTGTGCTTTTCTGTATTTTCTAAAATGTTGACAGTCAATATGTACGACTGAAAAATGTTATTGTGGCTTAACATACGTAAAATAAGGCACATAAATGTCTATCGTACAGTTCGATGAATTTTTACACCTGCACAGCCACTGCTCAGATTGAGGTGTAGAAGGATTCCAGCCCCCCAAGAAGGCTGTGATGTTTTACTCTGTTTTTATGTCTTTATGAGGCAAAATACACAGGACACAAAATTAACCATTTCAGAGGGAACCGTTCAGCGGCATTTAGTACGTCTACATGTTGCGCAGCCACCACCTGTATCCACCAGCAGAGCATTTCATCCCCGCGAAAGGAAACCCCAGACCCATTAAGCAGTTTCTCCCCATCCTCCCTGCCCTCAGCCCCT